GGTATTATTGAAAAGATTTTTAAATCTAGTTTTTTAATAAATTTATTTAAAAATACAAATGTTATACGTATTTTCTACAAATTAAATCAAACTTACTAAAAAAATCAAAAGCGTCAGATAATTTTGAACAGATGGAGTACGTTCAAGTGCCAGACGCAGTTACTGCTACCAAGCTAGGGCGTGTAGCATCAATTGACATTTGAACTTCCTCTCGAGCATTGGCGTACGATGATTCGCGTGGTTCGTCGACGCCCATTTGGGAGCTGTGTTTGAAATTTCAAGCGCCGAGCATGCATAACCGCATCCGGTCAAGCCTGCCTCTGCCTGCCGGCTTTAGGTGATGTTCGGATCCGGCTACTAAAATTTAGAAGATGTGTTGGGAGGATGTTGTATGTGGTATTTGGATACTAATAAAAAAATAAATTACATAATCCGTCAGTATTTCACGAAACGAATTTTTTAAGCCTAATTAATCCATCATTAGCACATGTTTACTGTAGTGAAACATTGTCAAATTATGAACTAATTAGGCTTAAACGATTCATCTTACAAATTAGTTACAAACTATATAATTAATTTCATAATTAGTCTATATTTAATACTCGAGGTGTCCATTGGTGACAAGAAATTTGAATGACCCGTGGAGGGCCGGCCATTGGTGAATTGTTAAATCGAGTTTGGATATTTTACATGACACTATGACAGGCGATGTGAAAGTGCTGCCTTTGTTTTTTTTTTTTAACCAGACTGAACCGTCAGCTTTGTGAATCCATTTCAGTTTGTGCAATCGTGGCGGGAGGACGAAACAGTGACACATCAAACGTAGAATAGTACCACATGCAAGCCAAGCAACAAGAAGAATCGAAGAAGAAGAAAAGAGCATTGCGTGCCCAATTCACAACTTTTTTGCAATAAAATATGGCGGCAGGAAGCAACGTACAGGAGGGCAGTTGAGTTGAAGTTGAACCCAACAGCTAGCAGGAAGCAACGTACATGGGTGTTTAGTCGGTGAGTTGAAAAAATTTCGGGTTATTGATGTATCGAAAGATGTCGGGAGAGATTTTTGGATCCTAATAAAAAAATAAATTATAGAATCTATTAAAAAACTACGAGACAAATCTAATGATACTAATTAATCGGTCATTAACGCATGTGGGTTACTGCAGCACTTAAGGCTTTTTATGGACTAATTAGGCTTAAAAGATTCGTCTCGCGATTTCAACCAAACTTTGTAATTAGTTTTTTTTGTCTATATTTAATACTCCATACATATGTCGTAAGATTCGATATGATATTTTGGATTGAAAAATTTTTAGAACTAAACAGGCATTTAGCTGCAAGCTGCTAGGGCCTCGTTTAGATGAATGTTAAGAATTAGTATTTGACATTGCAGCACTTTCGTTTGTATTTAATAATTATTGTCCAATTATGACCTAACTAGGCTCAAAAGATCCGTCTCGTAATTTACAATTAAACTATATAATTAGTTATTTTTTTATCTATATTTAATACTTTATACATGTATCAAATATTTAATATGATAAAGAGAGAGGAAAAAACTTAAAATCTAAACCAGGCCTACATCAAAAGAATTGCGCGTCTGTCTGTCCGTGTCCGGTGTCCGGCCACCAACTCCGGCCGTCAACCATGCATCGGGCATGGCCTGCATGATCTGCCTGTCTCTCTCCCTCCCTGTCAATCAGTCAGTCAGTGAGGCTCCATCTGGCGTAGGCTCTGACGACGACGACCGCCACGCCACCTTGCTGTCCATTGCATGCATCCCGCGTTCCCGAGCCCTAGGCACTGCCTTTGATTTTTTTTGGTGCTCTTCATCCGGTCGAACTGCTGCATGGCACACCACCGCACCTCGCTTCCGGCTGAAGTCAGGCTATATTTGGTTACAGCGTCTCCTAAAATTTCTATCACATCAAGTGTTTAAACATATGCATAGAGTATTAAATATAGATTAATTACGAAACTAATTATACAACTTGCGACTAATTTGCGAGACGAATCTTTTAAGCCTAATTAGTCTATGATTTAACAACGTAGTACTACAATAAACATGTACTAATGATAGATTAATTAGGTTTAAAAAAATCATCTCGTAAATTAGTCTCTATCTATTAATTGGTTTTATAATTAATCTATATTTAATATTCTTTATTATTATCTAAATATTCGATGTGACATAAATTTTAGAGCGACCGAATAACCATTCGCCCCCTCAGTCCGGGCGCACGAACCGAGAGGTAGGCGCACCACAGCACAGATAACAGATGAACGCCCGGGCACCGGGGCGTGTGATGGTGACAGCAGAGAGCAAAGGCTCGCCCAGCGCTCTGCTATTCCTGCTACCCAACGTATCTGCTACCCACCGCACGCTTTGAATGCATGTTCGGCACATGACGCTGAACTCAATGATAAGATCTACAATATCGAGCTCAGCGTCGTATATTTTAACGTCGAGTACCGATCACATCAACGTCACCTAGAATTTCCTGTTGTGTATGGCTAGACACCTCGATACTCAGATCTGTGGTGCTGAGACGTGTTACCTCAGTGCCTGGACTCATGGCGCCGACCCCAGGGTCCAAAGATGAATTTAAGTCTCCCAGAGGCTAAATGTAAATTTTCTTCGAAAAAATGGTCAAATAATAAAAAATTAGGTCTGCCGGCCCCTTGCCTCTCCTCTCTGGCGTGCTCGCTGGCGACGAACCTAGGTGGGCTGGTCCCCTCCTCTAGAGTTCTTAGTAGTTCGTAGTTAGAGTTGCCCTGATGGGAGAGTCCTGTCTTGCCGTCGTCCGCGTCGTCGTCGTAGCAGCTGTCGTGGTCTTCCCTAGTTCTTCCTCGCCGTCGACGTCGTCGACTTTAAGGTCAGTGTTAATAAAATAAATCCTTTCTTCTTCCCCACGGATCTCCTCCCCACCACCCTCGCTTCCACATCCATCTGTCACCGGCGAGATCCGTCCCCTCCCGATCCGCAACCTTCGCCGCACGCATCCCTCTCCGTTCAGCAGCCTCCGGTCTGGTGCTCCTTTCTTCAGCAAGTCAGCTCCTTCTATGGTTTTGGTTCGACCTGGGATCTTGGTTTGAGCTTCTTCTTCTACCTCCGGCAATGACTCCATCTGCATCCTTCGGTCATCGGTGTGCATTGCCTCCGATGGCTCAACCGTCCCACCTTTAACCGGCGCTTTGCGCGGTCAGTCCACCCGGGTGTATGCATCCTTGACGCCCCTGCGACCCTCCGCCGATGGCCTTGTCTCCCCCATCGCCTTGGACGTTGCTGCCTCCCCATCCAGCTGCAGGACTTCATGTAATCATGTCTTCTTTTGAGGACCTCTTTGTAAAATGGCTGCTGTTTTAATATAATATATATGAGTTGTTGTCAAAAAAAAAATGCACCTCATTAGATTTCCGGCTCTGCTAATCGGTCCCGATCCAAAACCAGCTAAAAGCCATGAGACATTGAGCGATTCATATATTATATTATTTCCTGAAATAGATACTGAACAACTATTAACAATAATATCCCCCCCAACACATGCGCACGTGGGGGCCACGCCGTGAACAAGGGGCAAGAAAAGTGGAGGTCTGGAGGAGGCAGACAGCACACCTGCCAGGTGAGGACCGAGCACGCAAGCAATACGTACTATACGTCACCGATCATTTGTGGTCTGAGCACAGAGGTTTATGACCTTCTCCATCCATCATCAAACAACTAACGTTTTAAATTTTTGACACGGCAGATTACGGTCTTGTTTGGGAGGATTTCTCCTTTTAAAACGGCTCTTTCGTCCTCTAGACATGAACTAGAATTCAATGAAGCCAAATAAAGCACCATCAATCAGGCCCTAAAGGTGATAGCTAATGACGCGTTGCGCCGTATGCACATTAAGAGTGTGTCTGAGACTACTCTACGAACTCTCTGTTCACAAACTCCACCATAGAGCAGCTCAAAAAATATCTGGAGTTTGTGGAGCACCTTTTAGATGCTTTAACAACTCTACTGTTTTTTCTCGAGCAGAGTACGTAGAGCTGAACCTGTTTAGCTAAAAAATATAGAGCGGAACTAAAAAAAAAACAACATGGAGTGCAGTAGTCACAGACACCCCTTAGGTTACCTTTTGGTTCCCAGGAGAGATATATTGATAGGGAAAGGAGGAGGCGCGAGTGACTGATTGTTCTGTTCCCACCCTAAAAAGCTAAAACATCAGTTATTTTAGAATAGATTTTAAATTCTAGCTAATAATCAATTATTGTGGGACGAACGGATCATTGAGCTTGTTTGCATCTAATAATATGTCGATACACCAGAATCTGTAGCACCGAGGCCTTCAAAATTGTCTAGTCTTACTCCCTACATTCTCTTTATTAAGGTACGATTTGACATTACAGAGCCTCCCAAATATATTTTGACTATTTTTTATAATATTGTTTATACTTACAAACTTATGATATTGGATTGGATGGTACATTTAATACTAAATCTAACCATATCAAATTTGTATTATAAAAATTAAAAATTGTGAGCTAAACTATTGATCAAAGATTTCAAAGTATAGTTGTCTATGCAATGCTCATTTCCAACAGGAGTTAACTTAATGTGTGCAAACTTAAGGCGTTTATGAATATCAAGTTCAAACTTTACAACCTTTGACCAAAAATTTTTAGCTATTGTGACACAAATTTGATATAATTATATTTGTAATCAAATATACTATTCAATAATCATAAGTTTATAATCATCTTTGCAATGCAAAGCTTATTTCCAACAGTAGTAATTAAAGTAGAGTACTAGAGTCCTCTTTGCAATGCAAAGCTTATTTCCAACAGTAATTAGCTTAGACCTTGTTTGATGTATGTTTATCCACTTCAATCCACATGTGTTAGAGTAGAATAAAATGAAACTTAAGTTTAATTCACTACAATCCACTTTAACACATGTGAATTAAAATGAATACATGTGCATCCAACAAAGCCTTACATGAAAAGCTTAATTATCTTGGATAGACACAGTCAGGAAGTGTAGTTACCCAGTCGTTGCCCTTGTAGCGTGTAAGGTACCCTACAAGGTCGTCCATGTACCGATCCTGCCGTCGCTGGTCGCCAAGAGCTTCCTTGAGCTTCATCGCGTTGCTCGCGAACACCTTGCCGTCCTCCTCCAGCACGACACGTCGCACGGCCTCCGCGACACCGTCCTTGTCGAACGAGCCGTCGCTCTCGTCCCTCGCCACCTCCACGCCGACGCCGCGCTCCGCCATCGTCCGGGCGATGAGGCCCTGGTCAACGACGAACGGGAGCATCACCAGCGGGTGTCCGAACACGAGGCCCTCGATGGTGGAGCCCCAGCCGCAGTGCGTCAGGAACGCGCCCACCGCGGCGTGCGCGAGCACCCGCACCTGGGGTACCCACCCGGGGAACACCAGGCCGCGCCCCCGCGTCCGGTCCTCAAACCCGGCAGGCAGCAGCTCGCCCACGTCGTCGTCGGTGCCGGGTGCGGACATGCCGGCCGGCTTGCGGAAAGCCCACAGGAAGCGGACGCCGGCGAGCTCAAGGCCCAGCGCGAGCTCATGGAGGGTCTTCGCGGTCAGCGGCGCCTCGCTTCCCAGCGCTACGTAGATGACAGACTTGGGTGTCTGCTTGTCCAGCCATTGAAGGACCTCGGGACGTGCCCCTGATACTGATATGGAGGAGTCATGGTCGTCGTCGTCGTCGAGTACAGGCTGCAGCAAGACCCCGGCGGGGACGGCCGGCTGTTGGAAGAGATCGGTGAGGATGGGGAACACCCCGGGCACGTCGACCTCCTCGCAGCTGCGGTAGATGATGAGGCGGGTGCCATCCATTGCCTGCCAGAAGCGGTCGAAGTCGGACACCCCGGACGCGTTGGGCTGGAACGCGGCGAGGAGCCAGTCGGCCTCGTGGCAGCGGTAAGCGATGGCGGGAGGGAACGACGGCAGCCACCTTGGCGGCACGGTGAAGTCCTCCGCCGTCGTGCGCGGATGCGCGGCGTTCGCCGACCGCGGCCCCATAAACGCGATCCAGGCCGCCTGCAATATCAGGAACATGGCGCACGGCACCCCGTGCGCCTCGGCGATCGCGGGGAGCCAGTGGTGGCAGAAGTCCATGATGATCCAGTCGGGCCTCCTCCCACCGTCGGCGACGGCGTCAGCGAGGAACGCTGCGAACGGGGCGGCGAGGCCGTCGAGCGCCTTCTTGAGCAGCTCCTGCTTCTCCGGCGGCACGTCGGCCGTGGACTCGGCGCCCTCGGGCAGGCCCTCCACGACGGGCGCGGGCAGCGCCACGAGGCGCAAGCGGGGCGACAGGTCCGCCGGCACGGGCGGCAGCCTGGCGACGTTCCTCGGCGTGGAGAGGAAGGTGACGGCGTGGCCCCTCGCCGCCAGGCGCTTGGCGAACTCCATGAACGGGATCATGTGGCCGAACGCCAGCCACGGGAACAGCAACACATTCAGCTTGCCGGCGGCTGCTGCTTCCATTTCCATTGACGTGATCATGTTCTGTCCCGTCCAGCACGTGAATGGCGATGTCCCCTAAACAATCATATATGCGCTATGAGCTACAATCCACATGATTGTGACATTATGCCTAATTTCTCAAAAATAATAGTATTCGGACCGGGGGGGTTTAAATAGTGAAGATTAGGGCTAGAGTTAAGAAAATAATGGTGATTTAGAGGCTAATTAATAGTATTTTACATGTGATTTAAGGCTCTCGAGGGGCAGCCCCCCCTGGATCCGCCACTGGTTGTATATATTTTTTATCTTAAAAAAAGTTAGAGCATTTGTTTTTATTTTATAGGAGGAATGTAATAGACAAAAATCATGTACGCGCTTCACACGCGTCCACGCATGAGTGGATAGAAACAATGTCGATGAGGAAGAAGAAGAACAATGCACCACAAGGTTAGGGTTTGGGTGGAGCATGGGGTTTGGAGGGATAAGATTATAAGAACAATGCACATTCAAATCCTAGTTACAACTTTTCTGAGCTTGTTCAGTTAATTCCCAGACCGAGTGGATTGGAGGGGATTGAAGGGCAATTAAAGAATTGCACTCAAAATACCTTGCAACATGAAAGAGAGAAGTAGAGCACAAAATACAAGCGAGATGATACATGTCGGCGAACAGAGCACTACACTACATCGTTCACGGTACAAGCCACGCCCGGCAGGGGCATCTCTTGCAGTTGCAGCACGGCGACCGCTTTCCCCCCGTGCAGCTCCGCGGCGACGCCAAGCGGGTCTTTGCCGTGTGGCGGCCAAAACATGTGCTGGACCAGCCGCCAGCCCATCATGGGGCTCGACCCTGTCTGGTACTGGAGTCCTTTACAAAACGAAACGAATAAGCGAGTGTGATGTGTCAACTACTCAACTGTCATGTGTATGAGTAAAACAGGGGGACTAGGAACCAACCCAGGTTTACATGTTAACAAATTGCAGCTGCATGTGTGGTGTCTCCAAGACTCCAACTGCCACTCTATTAGGAAAACAGGTTATACACCATACAAAAATAGGGCGCACCCAATGTTGAAAGTTCACGGACGAGCTACGTAGCATATACAGAGATAGGAGGAACAAAACTATAACCACCCCTTCGTTAAAACTAAGGAGGGCGCAGCTGGTAGCAAGTCCCAACCAGCACCACCTACAGACAGCAGTCTGTTTCAGAAATGGCCTACACCCCAATTGTGTCGCTACAAGGAAAGCCAAAACTTTCACATATCCGGAGCAACGATTATTGACAAAACTTTTCCGTTGTCTACTATATGACACAATGCTCCGGTGGGAGGAAACAATATATTCCATGATTTACAGCAAGTTGCGAGATCTTGTTCTCAAGCTCAAAGCGGACCCATGTTCTCTCACCTAGATGAAAAGCTTTCATAAAGAAAAAACTTGCAAATGACGCCAGAAAAAGAAGCCAGCTCGGGGTGCTTGAGCATCACGCAAAAAAATCCATCTTCCTAGCTACCTAGCACACGCCACCTGTCCTCCTGCATCATAGAATCAACAAAATGTAAATTGATGAAATAACAAACAAAAAGGCGCAGGAACAGAGAAACTACAAAGTGGAAATTTCAACTTATAATAACCAAAATTCTTGTTTGTAAGTGTTAGTGATAATACCGTGCAAGAACATATACAATGAAGCCTTGCCACAAAGTTGAATATCAATCACAAATATCTTTCAAGCAGTATGAATATTCCTATTTGATTGGCGCCTAACTTTGCCACAACCAAGGTTTTAGGCAAAACGTGGCAGCCACAAAAGGTGTGGCCAACAAAATGGGCACCACAGTTGTGAATTACTTTAGTGACATCTAAGGCATAGGGCTAAGAAAGTTGTGGCGTGAACCAAACACACTAAGGAAGTGCCTAACTTGTGGCTACAAACCAAACCAGCCGTTGCTTGACTATGAAACTCTGATAGTAATTGATAGCACACAATGAACCATAAATGCAGCTTCTAGACCTCAGTACTTTGAAACTGTTATTTTTCCAAAGACAACATTGCAACAAAAATCAGATGCATCATCAGCTATGGGGAATAAGATGACTATGAACATTAGACATTGCGATTGTGAACAAAAACATACTTGCCATGGCTTTATCCAAATAAGGCGCAATGAGGGCATCCAATTGGACAACCCAAAGTGCAACTGCTGATGTTGTTTGTGGCATTGTCTGAAAGTAGACAATGATGTCATCCAGATATGTTCTAAATCTCGCAGAAGATGAACTTTTGTACAACCAATCAACATCCATTGCCCCAACAAAATCGACAAGAACCTGTAGCAGAATATAAGCATGGTAAGAGAAAAGGCAGTAGAAACTAAATATACTACTGCAATGGAAGGTTCAGGTATTAAAAAACAAAAATAAAGACCTGAAAATCTTTTACTGACCTGCAAAAGCTCTGGCAATGATGACGTTCGTCGCAGCCGCTTAACCCACAGCTTGTGAGCAGACTTCATCCAAGAACCAGTAAAAGCTGCCTCAGGCATAGATGCCTACATGTGACAGATTATAAGAAAATTAAATCCGACTAGAAACATGTGTTTCTCAATTTATTTGAATAAGTAGGTTATAATCCTATGTGTGGACAAATTGGTCCCGATTATGAAACTGTATAGGAGTTGCATGTGTTTTGAAATACTAACCTCAATAGCATGAATGGCTGCTTTAAGTGCCTGTAGCTGTGATGGCAGAAATTTATGATTTGGCACCTCATGTGAAAGCTCAGGTTCCCTGCACGTCACCACATGTACAGCATATTTTTCTTCAAGATCAAAACCAACCTCGAAAGTTGAATGGCATATTCTACAGTGCTTTTCATCTCTCCAATATAGATCATGACAACTTTCACAATGAACTAGTGACTCCTTAAATGACTTCTTGCCACTTTTAACAGCAGTAAGGATGGAGTAAAAAGAAGTCCAGATCCACTTATCAAATGCTTGCAACCGTTCCCACATAGATATTTTTTCATCACCTCTCCTCCCACTTTCAATTACTATGGCAGATGATGAATCCAAATTACTATCTTTGAGGCTTGTAGGAACAGAAGTGTTCTCAATGTCTGATACAGGTGAAGTTCCATCTACACTACTTGTCTTGGGCGAAGCTCCATCTCCACTACTTGCCTGGGAGCAATATGAAACAGATGAGGCTGGAAGCCTGGCTGCCTTCCCTCCTTCCACATGTTTTTTCATGGCTTCAAAAAGGCAGGCTTGTCTCTTTTCCATCGATGTAAGGAGATGTGCTTCCCTAGTGCCCCTGCTATCGAGGACAGATAGCAAGGAAAGTAATTCCTGCAATGACCCCAAAAAAAGGCTAAGGTAATTTTACAAAATTAACCTCAAATAAGAAAATTGATATCTGAGTAGAGTTGGCATGTGGACAACCTGTGGTGAATCGATCACCTCCCAGTGACCATCTTCTGAGGACTCAAAGTAGACCCTACGATGCCCTGGATCATCTTCCCTACAAGGACCAAGGAAGAGCCAATAGCTATTATACCTACGGTCTGATCCTAAGAGAACAACTTGTGGTTCATGAGCAGCGACAGGCAGATCGTTCCTTCCAGGGTCAGTGGTGTAATCCTGATTTTTTCGCCTTCCTGGTCGGCCTTGATGACAACAATCCAAACTTCCTGATCCATTTAAGGACTCATCGCTATATTGACAAAGGTTTTTTGTTGATTTCTTTATTTTCCCACCTGATTGTGGTGGATGCACTCTTGGCACATTATGCAAGACTCTTTGTGGTTCCTAAAAGAAATGAAAAGTAATGGGATACGCTTCAGTTATTCAACACAATACAAGTGAGGAAAAAGATATTTTCAGGAAACAGTGATCAACCTACACTACACATAATAAGTACTACCTCCGCCCTGAGAAGAATGAAATTCTAGTTCTCTCCTTAGTCAAACTACCTAAAGTTTGACCACATTTATCAATATTTATGATATCAAATAGTTATAATATTACAATATATTCAATGAAGAATCTAATGGTACTTATTCGGTATCATAAATATTGATACTTTTCTACATAAACTTGGTCAAACTTAGTATGCATTGACTATGTACTATGTTAGAATTGCATCCCTTTCTGGACAAGTGGACAGAGGGAGAATAACGGCACACTTATGGATCGTCTCTCTTCCAATAAAAAAGAATCAAAGAGTAACAATCTTTCATGTATCTGATAGTCAAACTGGCAGTAAAGTTAAAGTAAAATTTCTTGAGAACAAAGATGACACACTGCAAGTGAGAAGTGCTGAATAATTACTAAAGATTACCTCAAGTCTTGGAACAGAACCAGCACCAGACACAACATCTATCAAAGCAACCAAACAATCCAACTTCTCATCAATGCTTAGATCTGAATACTCGCCTTCCATCAATGCCAGAAGCCATCTTTCACCTGAATAACTTTCATCAATTTCACTACATTTATTTGGACTTTCATGTGCATTTTTCTCCTTCCTTCGAGCAAGTCTACTTTCATTCTCAGGAAATTTGAACTTTTGTGAACTATCAGATCCATCATCACTTCTGCTAGCATCCTCATCATCATCAACACTTCCAGAATCATCACTATCTAATATAGAATCTTCTTCCCCTTTAATTTTGGGGTCAACACGGAGACGATATGCAGAAGGTGCAATCTTCTCAAATAATGTGATGTCACTGGAGAGAGCTAAAGAGATCAACTGCTCTAGTTCTAATGGGCTTGAAACATTAAGATCAATAATCTGAAAAGATAAAAATCAGGGAAATGTTACAGACAAATTCAGTTAGAAAACAGAGGGAAAATAAGCTGTTACCAATATCAACAATTTATTTCCAATACTAACAAGATAAATACCTCAGATGATTTGGCTAGTACTGAAACCTTTAACCCACAACTTCCTGCCTTAGACAACAGTGCAAACAATTCTCCTTTCAGTAAAAGGGGACGTAAACCATATTTAACCATTTGGTTTTTCTCC